TGTGTGTGTGTGTGTGTGTGTGTGTGTGTGTGAGTGCTTGCAAGTAGAAAGAAACATGTTGACTCACCTAGGGCTGTGAAGGTCACAAAATTCTCACAGTAATTGACCGTTAATTAACATAAACACATTTAGCATCTTCTGGCTTCCACACATAGCCTACAAGCCACTGATGCAGACCTTTGGAACATCTATATTTAAAAAAGTCTAATAAATCCATGTAATATAACCTACACCTTCACAATAAATCCATTATTTATTTTAGACAGGTCTAAAGAAGCATGATATGAAGACAATGTAGTCTATTTCAAAAGAACATAATAGCATACTCTGAGTTGTCCTTATGTGAGGTCCTGATCTGGCTATGCCAAATGGCTGTGGGCTACACTAGTTCATTTAGCAGACAAGATTTGCTTAGAATTCTGTGGCATTATTTTATAGTATGAATTGAACAAAGCTGAATCAAATAGAAAATATATTTTCTCCAAACGATTTGATGGAGTGCGCACATGTGGCTATTCTGTGTTGAGCGGTTAACAATGAAATAGTTATTCCTATATGCTTAATTTAGAGTTATTGATGTAACTGTTATGATGATTTGTGATACAAAATTCATTAATGTATTTACAACTTATAAGATGTATGTGGACAGAGAACAAGGACAAGCCATGTGTTATTGGTGTCACGAGTGAGTAATAGAAGGTCAGTGTGCCAAGATAGATTGGGGGCCACTGTTGCTAATCTTAGGATGGGTGCGTGATGGAATGGCCTGGCTAGGGTGCCACACTACACCAAGTAGGTGAATGATATGGTGGTAGATGAGTGACAATCAATAATGGTTAGCAACTGTGTAAGATAAAAGTAGATTGGATGGGCATTATATAAGCTGATAGATTTTGTATGGAAGTCATTCAGATGGCAGGAGGCAATGTCCGTACCCCCTGTCATTGAATCCAATATTGTAACCATTAAATAATGACTGAATCCAATCTCCATCTGTGTAACATATTCTCTTGCATCCTGAACTTCTCAATACCAGAAACTCATCATAACAGTAACTTTAGTTGTTCTACAAACATTGAAATATATGTTTTGATTTTTAATACATTGTAAGGCTGCATGATGCGACTCTAATGATGACTTGAAAAAAGTTGCTTGAAAGGCATGAGCTCTGCTTTGTTTTTTGTGCAGGCTGTACACACTATTTCTGCTAAATGATGTAAATGTAAATGTACATCAGTCTCTCATTCACAATTTGAGGAGCACTTGATAATGCCTAGAATCTCACAGCGGCATCCCCTTTGTGTGGCCGTAATGCACCCTAAAAAAATCCATGCCTTTTGCGGCCAGTGGCCGTTCTGCCCTTCTCCCTGAGTGCTGCATGCTCCATCACGTGATCGGGCCTTTCTCACAGGTGACAAGTGAAGACAGACACATCCGGGAAGCAACTGCGTGTGTCCTTATCCAATTCCGAGGTGCATATTGAAGATATTGGAAGAACTGTCCACATTTACTTTTCGTCAGCCAACAAGATGAGTAGGCCTAACGAACAGCAAAAGCACTAGCCTATGTCAATCTACTATCCCCCATAGTACAAACGTCGACCTCTTCTATTCTGTGCGAAAAATAAATATTCCAAACATAGTCTGGGACAGTTGTGGGATGCAATAGATCCCAAATTAATACAACCACTAGCATCAAAAAAACGTTTTTATGCAATGTGGCTGACGCAACAGATCAGAACGTTTAGCTTAAAATGTTGATAAACTATTAGGCTATTTCTTCACATTATAAGCGCAGCCATGCGCACATGGTAGTAGACTATAAGTGCCAATGTTCCATCATCAAAAGTGACCGAAAATGCAATTATGCATGTAATGCTTTTATTATAAAGGTGCAGTTTTATGGTGAAAATTATCTTCCCCAAATGTGAAACTCACGTGCTGCTTATGTATGCCAGTTAGGCTCTACACCCCTTGTAAAGCGGATTAATGTGCTTAATTTTAAGAAGTTATTCGGCCACTTTAGTTGTGATCAGTGGCGGCTCCTGAAAAAATTCTCAGGGGGGGCAATTTTTCTGATGATTTAGGTGACCTACACACATTTTAAAAAAGATATGTCCAGCAACAACATGAAGACAGGGGCAGCATATAAGTCAATACCAGAAGCATTTATTGACTGATCTCAAAAGTGTTGGCTTACCAGGGTTGGTGGAGCCCTCAGTTTCATCTTTGCCTCGCAAAGCTAACTCAAACACTCCGCAAAACTTCACACACTGGATTAGCCGGCTGAGGATGTGGCGGTTCTTGCTAATGTCGTAGTAAATATATTTGTTATAGTGAATATGGAATATGATATGTTGAGTAAAATGTTGTGCTAAGATCTATTTAGGTCAGGAGCTGGTTATAAGTTCTGTTCCTATCCAATAACAATGGACAAAAGGGTCCTATCTTGTCAGCCTTGTCAGTTTCAGTTCTCCAGTAAACTTGTGATTATCAACACTAACCTCATCGTTGTGGCGGCGGACAGCTAGCCTGTATCCCTCATCCAGTTGAGTGGGAATGTTCACTCTCCCCAAAGCAGACAATCTCAAACAGCTATCCATGTGGGTCTTTGACAGCTCATGTTTCTTAATCTTTCCTGAAAGATGGTGCATGTCCGTTACACACCAGTCGCTGTCCAAGCGGTGCTGTCTGCCGTGCCGCCTTCAGGGTGAAAGAGTAAGCAGGGGGTAGCAGAAGACTGCATTAGCTACATCGCAGCCTGCTAGCCAGGTTTTTCGTTCGTACCAATTTCTGGAAAATCCTCGGGTGTAGGACTTCCCCCCTTTAGTAGAAACCTGTTGAATTATTAAATTTGGTCTGGGAGGTCCTAATTGTTTCGTTGCCAATTTATCTTCATTTGTTCGCCGACAAAAAGGAACTTCTTTCAAAGACACAATCGAGTTGCACTGAAGCCTAGCCATTTTGACAGTAATAGTGAATTGATTGACGCTGCTACCCGCTCTTTTCTTAGTTACGTTCATGGTTACGTTACGTATGACGAAAGCGCGTAAGTGCAAGCCCTCAGAAACCCATAGAGATTGTATTGAAAGCTCTGATATTTGAAAAAAATAGATTTTACATGGGAGTCTATGACAGACTTCTGGGCGATTTTCAACCTGACTGAAATCGCCCCAAAAGGGGGGGGGGGGGCATTTGAAGCACGACTTTAGTGGTCCTCTGTAGCTCAGCTGGTAGAGCACGGCGCTTGTAACGCCAAGGTAGTGGGTTCGATCCCCGGGACCACCCATACACAAAAATGTATGCACGCATGACTGTAAGTCGCTTTGGATAAAAGCGTCTGCTAAATGGCATATTATTATTATTATTTAGCCTGATTGGACATTTAGTGGCACTGTGGCAGATCAGACGTCTAGATTACAACACTGATAACTACTGTTGCCGTGATATAATTGATTAGAAAAAAAATCCCTTCCTTTTCCCGTTTGGCAGTGCGTCGCCCATATCGCCCTATTGAACACACCGCCCCTGGTTGTGATACAAACCTTATTAAAACATATAGGTCTATGGGCTAGGCTACATGAAATGTGTGACTATGATTCGAAAAAGTCGCAAAAAAAGGCATTGTTTCTTATGCTAGGCTTCATTCACAAGTGATAATATATAATTCACAAGTGATAGACTAATATTGTCACCCATCAGACTATTCTTGATATAATCTTGTCTTTACATATGCTAAATAATATATGTGTGACATTTGTTTTGATTTAGAATGGACCATTACAGTGGCGATTTTAGCATGTAAATATTGGTGGGGCAAACAAAAACAAAAAAATGTGGGATGCATGTAGGCAAAGCCACTACACAACACAACACTAAACAATACATGAATTGCACTATAACGGTGACAAACGGTGACCACAAACTGTTAGGGCCTACATAAAGCTGTCCCAACAGCAGAGTCCTGAGCAGCCACACACAAGCCTAAGATCACCATGCGCAATGCCAAGCGTTGGTTGGAGTGGTGCAAAGCTCGCCGCCATTGGTCTCTGGAGCAGTGGAAACATGTTCCCCGTCGGACTAATCTGGGTTTGGCGGATGCCAGGAGAACGCTACCTGCCCCCAATGCATTGTGGCAACTATAAAGTTTGGTGGAGGAGGAATAATGGTCTGGGGCTGTTTTTCATGGTTCGGGCTAGGCCCCAGTGAAGGGAAATCAACGCTACAGCATACAATGACATTCTAGACGATTCTGTGCTCCCAACTTTGTGGCAACAGTTTGGGGAAGGCCCTTTCCTGTTTCAGCATGACAGTGCCCTCGTGCACAAAGCGAGGTCCATACAGAAATGGTTTGTTGAGATCGGTGTGAAAGAACTTGACTGGCCTGCACAGAGCCCTGACCTCAACCACATCGAACATCTTTGGGATGAATTGGAATGCCGACTGTGAGCCAGGCCTAATCGCCCAACATCAGTGCTTGACCTCACTAATGCTCGTGGCTGAATGGAAGCAAGTCCCTGCAGCAATGTTCCAACATCTAGTGGAAAGCCTTCCCAGAAGAGTGGAGGCTGTTATAGCAGCAAAGGGGGGGAACAACTACATATTAATGCCCATGATTTTGGAATGAGATGTTTGACAAGCAGGTGTCCACAGACTTTTGGCCATGTAGTGTATCTATCTCAATTATCTCGTACCACTGCACATCAACTCAGTACTGGTACCCCATGTATATAGCCAAGTTAACGTTACTCATAGTGTATTTATTCCTCGTGTTATTATTTTTCTATTTTTGCATTGTTGGGAAGGGACCTTAAGTAAGCATTTCACTGTTAGTCTACACCTGTTGTTTACGAAGCATGTGCCAAATGAAATTTTATTTGAAACTGTGAAAGTTATTTGAATCTATGATGCAATTGATCATGCAAACAATTTCTCCAAGATAACAGTGCCTTTTCTGTCAGAAATATAGGGATGAGGAGCTTCCTTTGTAATGCACCTCACCTTGTCTATGCCTTTGTGTATTTGGTTTGATTTGGAGAGGACGTCGTATTTCTTCTTGGCCTCGTTGGTGAAGTCATCACAGACGCGTCGGAGCTCCACACACTTGGGCCGTATGGAGTCCACAGCATAGTGGTTGCTCTGGATCAGCTGGTCCCCATGTAGGGCATGGAGCTGGGCCTTCTCTAACGACTCCTGACACGCACACAACAGACAGACAGAGAGCCATTCATCTCACATGACCAACACACTGGGGCACATCCGTGTTAGGCTCAAATACAATACAATCAAAGGCTGATGATCATATGCTAATGAAGCCATAGTGGAGACATTGTGCAATGTACTCAATCATTGGAATTGTAAGGTTTAGATGTTACATCTCATATAACGTATGTTATGTGACTGAGCTGACCTGAGCCTTCTCCTCTAAGGTATTGAGGTCGTTCAGTAACATCTCCACTCGGGTGACACAGTCCCCAATATCTGACAGGAAAGTCAGAGTGTCCATCAGACTGTCCAATGACACTTTCACCTGGGAGGGGGGAGAGGACACAGAGACAACTGCAGATCAGGCACATATTGTACAGTTTTTGCAAACATATGCTTGAGAGGGAACATTATACTGTAATTGTGAACATAAAAAAGCATGTGTAACACTGAGAAAAGTGAGAAAAGTAAAGGGGAAGCAACTATTTTTGGACAAACAAAGTGTTACATTGTAATGACTTTTCACAAAGCGTCTGGCCCTGATGGCTTACCTCAAAAACATCTACACTGCCTTCGGACAGTATTCAGACCCCTTGACTTTTTCCACATTTTGTTAGGTTACAGCCTTATTCTAAAATTGATACAAACGTTTTCACCTCATCAATCTACACACAATACCCCATAATGACAAAGCAAAAATAGGTTTTTAGAAACGTTTGCAAATGTATAAAAAAAATAACAAAAGTACTCAGACCCTTTACTCAATATTTTGTTGAAGCACCTTTGGCAGCGATTACAGCCTTGAGTCTTCTTGGGTATTACACTACAAGCTTGGCACACCTGTATTTGGGGAGTTTCTCCCATTCTTCTCTGCAGATCCTCTCAAGCTCGGTCAAAGCTATTTTCAGATGTCTCCAGAGATGTTCGATTGGGTTCAAGTCCGGGCTCTGGCTGGGCCACTCAAGGACATTCAGAGACTTGTCCCGAAGCCACTCCTGCGTTGTCTTGGCTGTGTGCTTAGGGTCGTTGTCCTGTTGGAAGGTGAACCTTCTCCCCAGTCTGAGGTCCTGAGCGCTCTGGAGCAGGTTTTCATCAAGGATCTCTCTGTACATTGCTGCGTTCATCTTTGCCTCGATCCTGACTAGTCCTTACCGCTGAAAAATATCCCCACAGCATGATGCTGTCACCACCATGCTTCACCGTAGGGATGGTGCCAGGTTTCATCCAGACGTGATGCTTGGCATTCAGGCCAAATAGTTCAATCTTGGTTTCATCAGACCAGAGAATCTTGTTTCTCATGGTCTGAGAGTCTTTAGGTGCCTTTTGCAAACTCCAAGCGGGCTGTCATGTGCCTTTTACTGAGGAGTGGCTTCCGTCTGGCCACTCTACCATAAAGGCCTGATTGGTGGAGTGCTGCAGAGATGGTTGTCCTTCTGGAAGGTTCTCCCATCTCCACAGAGGAACTCTAGAGCTCTGTCAGAGTGACCATCGGGTTCTTGGTCACCTCCCTGACCAAGGCCCTTCTCCCCCGATTGCTCAGTTTGGCCGGGCGGCCAGCTCTAGGAAGAGTCTTGGTGGTTCCAAACTTCTTCAATTTAAGAATGATGGAGGCCACTGTGTTCTTGGGGAACTTCATTGCTGCAGAAATGTTTTGGTACCCTTCCCCAGATCTGTGCCTCGACACAGTTTTGTCTTGTAGCTCTACGGAAAATCCCTTCGACCTCATGGCTTGGTTTTTGCTCTGACTTGCACTGTCAAATTGGGACCTTATATAGAATGGTGTGTGCCTTTCCAAATCATGTCCAATCAATTGAATTTACCACAGGTGGACTACAATCAAGTTGTAGAAACATCTCAAGGATGGTCAATGGAAACAGGATGCACCGGAGCTCAATTTCAATTCTCATAGCAAAGGGTCTGAATACTTATGTAAATAAGGTATTTCTGTAAAAAATAAATAATACATTTGCTAAAATGTCTAAAATATTGTTTTCGTAGGGCCTCCCGAGTGGCGCAGCGGTCTATGGCACTGCATCGCAGTGCTTGAGGTGTCACTACAGACCCATGTTCAATCCAAGGCTGTGTCACAACCGGCGGTGACCGGGAGTCCCATAGGGAGGCGCACAATTGGCCCAGCGTCGTCCGGGTTAGGGGAGGGTTTGGCCGGGAGGGCTTTACTTGGTTCATCGCGCTCTAGCGACTCCTTGTGGCGTGCCGGGCGCCTGCAGGCTGACTTCGGTCGTCAGTTGAACGGTGTTTCCTCCGACACATTGGTGCTTCCAGGTTAAGCGGGCGGGTTTTAAGGAGAGCGGTTTGGCGGGTCATGTTTCGGAGGACGCATGACTCGACCTTCGCCTCTCCCGAGCCCGTTGTGGAGTTTCAGCGATGAGACAAGATCATAATTGTATCGCAATTGGATATCGCAAAATTGGGGAGAAAAAGGGGGTAAATACAAACTTACTATCCTCTCATCATTACAATAACAGGGGAGGTTAGCATTTTCTTTGTGGGGGGAATGATATTTGTGTGTCTGTAACTTTCTCACTCATCATTATTCGTGATTCATTCAGGATTATCCATAATCATGGTAGCATCCACATTCATGTAGAATTGTTTTCGAAACATATTCTATTCTTATTTACAATTAAAGTGACTCTAAAATGACACAATATGTTATTTACCATTAATTTCTATTGAGCACAAAATAATCTGAAACACAACCAAAACTAACAGCAAATGCATCCAAGAAATGTGTAGAGTCACAAGCTTGATGTAGTCATTGCGTGCTATGAATATGGGAACAAATACTTAACTTTTGCTTTTGGAGTATAGAGCTCCACTGTCCCAATAATTACGGATCGCACTGTATATTCAAAAACACATGCATCCTTGTGCACACACAAACACTCACAAACACTCTACTACAGAATAATAAAGTTACTTTCTTTTCCTAGCTGCTCTAAAGCACTTTTCTCACGTCCCTCCTGTGACTGCCATGAGCGTCACCAGTTGACGGATTGAAACATGGTGGCAATGGCTGTATGTAGGCCATGCTGGGAGGCCCCTCTGTACCAGGACTGTGGTGCAAACCCCATCCGCTTCAGGCACTTACAGGAAATGTCCATGATATGCAGCGCTTGTTAACACATCTTAATCAAACTGAAAGCTTAATTTTTAGGCTTGCTATACCCAGTACCTACTGAAACAAATCAAACTAGGAAACCATGAAGAAAAACTTAAAAACGACCACTTACCCAGCCTGTCTTCCATGAGACACTCTGTCATGAGTAAAAGGTTACCAACCTCATAGCTCCATCATGTCACTATATAGACAAAACATCAAGGAGCTCACCTCAAAAGAAAGAGTAGGACCCTGCTCAGTGCTGACAGAGAGGTAAAATACTGATGTACAACAACACTATCAAACACAGCACAAGATGAGGCAGCCAGAGCATCCATCTTCACCCAGAATACAAAAAATTATAATAATATATATATTTTTTTACTGTTTTCGCTTTGTCATTATGGGGTATTGTGTGTAGATTGCTGAGGATTATTTATTTTTTAATCAATTTCAGAATAAGGCTGTAACGTAACAAAATGTGGAAAAAGTCAAGGGGTCTGAATATTTTTCCGAAGGCACTGTACTTTACTTTTCTATACTGTACTGTGTACTGTACTGTACTCTGCTGTGCTCTACTGTACTTTATTGTGCTGTACTATGATGTCCAAACTTGTGAAACATACAGTAGGTGTCTATGTTTGGTTCAGATTTGGTCCGGTCCGGATCGGACCAATTATAGACGTCTATTTTTGGGCCAAATTTAGGCTGGTCCAAAAGACGTAACCTTCCCCCTCCAAGTCCCCTTACAATCAGCGGGAAAGACCTGCAAGTCTGTGAATCAGTCAAAATTCTTGGAGTCATTGTGCAAAATAATCTACAGTGGGATGAACAAGTAACATCCATGGTTAGAAAAGGAAACAAGAAGTTGTTCTTCCTACGCAGACTAAAAAGGTTCAATGTCCCACAGGCTGACCTGGTAGCCATACACAGGCTCCATCCAGCCCCGCCTAGAATACGCAGCACCAGCTTGGCATAGCTCCTTAACTCAAGCCCTCTCCGACCGACTGGAGCGCATCCAGAAGTGCGCTTGCAGAATCATCCTCAGCACAGCATTCTGGATACAAGGAGGACGCTCTGACTTCATTATCACTACCCTCATTTCATGAGAGAAGAGAGAAACTGTGCCTGGGCTTTGCTGTGTGACGTAGGATGTGAAATGTGAAACCACTTGAAGCTGGGATGTCCCTCCTACCATTTCATTCGCTCTTCCGACTGTACATCAACTGTTGGCTGAACCTTACATTGCAATCATTACATCGTAACTGTCACGTCTCCTCCCGTTGCTCCCCTCTGGTGCTCTGATTCGCCGGTCTACTGAGCCACCGGTCTGAGCGCACCACCTCGGCAACACTGGAATGGAAACCCAACGCACCCTAATCACCTCCAGCGCACCTGCACCTCATAATCTCATCACCACCCCTATTTAGCCTTGGACTGTTCTGTATGATGTTGTGTGTGATTGTTTAGCTTCGTGTCGTGGACTCTATCTTCGTTATTTGTCTTTGTCATTGTTTAAGTAAACCTTGACCTTGTTAATTCCTGCGTCTGCATCCTGCCTCTTCGTATACTCAGTACTCGTCACAGAATCACACACACCAAACAAAAATGGATGCAGCAGGAGTTTTCCAGTGCCTTGACCAGCACCAGCAGCAGCTTGCCCAGTTGAACGCCGCCATGCAGGAAGTGCTCCAAACTCTGCATAATCTGCCCAGCGCTCTGGTTCCACCTCAGGGAGCGGCGAGTTCCCCCAATCCACCTGTTCCCGGGCTATTGCCCACTTCTGCGGGAACCCTCGCCCTACCGGAGCGCTTTGATGGTAAAACTACTAAATGTAGCGGCTTCCTGCTACAGGTTTCCCTTTATTTGGCGCATCAGCCTGGGGCATATCCATCTGACCAAGCCAGGATAACACTGGTGATTTTGCTACTTAAAGGGAAGGTGCTGGATTGGGCCACGGCAGTCTGGGAAGGAGAGGAGGCAGTGGCACTAACCTACCCCACCTTCCTCGCTCGGTTCAGGGCTGTGTTTGATCATCCCACGGAGGGAAAGGATGGGGGTGAGCGTCTCCTCCATCTACAACAGAGAGAGGGGTCCGAGTACGCTCTGAGCTTTCACACGGTGGCGGTGTCTTCTGGCTGGAATGAGTGTGCTCTGTGCACAGCCTTCAGGAGAGGATTACGGGAGGACATCAAGATGGAACTCGCATGTCGGGACGACGAGATGGACCTTGATACCCTCATCACCACGTCCATCCGTCTTGACAACATGTTGAGAGAGAGATGGCGTTCCCAACACCTCCCGGAGTCTCGATGCTCACCCTATCTGAGCTATAGAAGCTGCCCTGCTTCTGAGTCCTCACCCATGGAGGTGGGCAGGACCCCCTAAACCACCAAGGACCACAGATCTCCTGGCGGCTCCTTATCTAGGCGGTATGACTCCCGTTGCCGCTCCATGAGTGTTACGTCAGCTCCTATCACAAAACCATTGTTTTTAGTTCCCATAACGGTGTCTGGTTATTCCTTCTCTTCCATTTCTACTGCTATGATAGATTCCGGATCAGCAGGGAACCTTATAGATAGGGAGCTGGTCTCTGAATGGGGGTTGCCCACTGTGCCACTGCCATCTCCGCTACACGTCACCTCACTGGACAATAAACCCCTTGGATCAGGCACCATTACGCACGCCACTCTCCTCATCACCATTTCCACACTACCGGAGCACCACGAGGAGCTATCATTCCACATCGTCACATCACCCCTTCACCGGATCGTCTTGGGATTGCCCTGGCTCAGACTACACAACCCCACCATCGATTGGAGCACCAAGAGAATCACAGCCTGGTCTACCTCATGCCGGAAGACCAGCCTGCCGGTGGTTTGTTGTTCCACGTCAGTGGAGAGTCCGGAGTCCGCCCTCCAGCCCAACATTCCACGTGAGTACGCAGATCTCTCCGATGTCTTCTCTCCTCACAGGCCCTGGGACTGCGCCATTGACCTGCTGGAGGGACAAGACCCCCCTAAGAGTCGCATTTACCCCCTTTCCATGGTGGAGACTGAGGCCATGGAGAAGTATGTGGCGGAGACCCTGAAACAGGGGTTCATCAGATGCTCTACCTCTCCTGCCTCCGCCAGCTTCTTCTTTGTGGCCAAAAACGACGGAGGACTGAGACCATGCATTGACTACAGGGGGCTGAACACAGTCACCACCAAGTACCGGTACCCCCTCCCTCTGGTTCTGTCGGCCATCGAGCAGCTTTGAGGGGCCCGGTACTTTACCAAGTTGGACCTGAGGAGTGCCTACAATCTGATCCGAATCCGGGAAGGAGACGAGTGGAAGACGGCCTTCAGCACTACCTCAGGCCACTATGAATACTGCGTCATGCCCTACGGCCTCGCCACCAACGCACCTTCTGTGTTCCAGTCCTTCGTCAATGATGTGTTCCGGGACATGCTGAGTAGACAGGTGGTGGTGTACATCGACGATATCCTGATCTACTCGGCTACGTTCGAGGAGCACGTCAGGGTCATCCAAATGGTCCTACTCCGCCTCAGGGAACATAGCCTGTTGGTGAAGGGGGAGAAATGCGAATTCCACCAACAGGCATCTCCTTCCTGGGATACCGGATCAGTCCTCAGGGGGTGTTCATGGAAGGAGTAAAGACGGACAGCGTCAGGTCATGGCCAGTTCCCACCACCATCAAGGGCCTACAGAGCTTCCTGTGCTTCGCTAATTTCTACCGGCGTTTCATCAGGTCCTTCAGCTCCATAGCCGCCCCGCTCACCTCTCTCCTTAAGGGTGGGCCTCAGAAGCTGGCCTGGAACCCTGAGGCTGACGCTGCCTTCAAGAGGCTGAAGGATAGGTTCACCACAGCGCCCATCCTAAAACACCCAGATCCATCTCGTCCTTTCATCCTGGAGGTGGACGCATCGGAGGAGGGTGCGGTCCTCACCCAGCGGCACGGTAAGCCAGAGAAAATGTATCCCTGTGCCTTTTTCTCTAAAAAGCTTACCCCCTCAGAGAGGAACTATGGAGTTGGAGACAGGGAGCTGTTGGCGGTGGTCCTCGCTCTGGAGGAATGGAGACACTGGCTGGAGGGCGCAGTCCATCCATTCCGGATTCTAACTGACCACCTGGAATTTGGAGCCCATACGGGCAGGGAAACGGATGAACTCTCGTCAAGCCAGGTGGACCCAATTTCTCACTCGCTTCCAATTCATTCTGTCCTACCGACCAGGATCCCAGAATGTGAAGGCCGACGCACTCTCCAGGATGCACCATACCGGAGAAAATAAGTATCTGGGGGGGTCCTATCCTGCCCTCGTCTCTCATCATTGCACCTGTCATTTGGGATGTGGACGAAGACATCCGCCTGGCGGCTCAGGAGGTCCCAGGGCCTGCCAACGGCCCTCCGGGGCGCGTGTATGTACCCACCAGTGTCCGTGACCGCCTCCTTATCTGGGCGCACACCACCCTTACGGCAGGTCACTCTGGTATTACGCGCACCCTGCATTCTCTAGCCCCAAAAATACTGGTGGCCCACCATGGCTTCTGATGTCTCCCGCTATGTCAACTCCTGTTCCGTATGTGCCCAAATGAAGACACCTCGGAATGCCCCGGCAGGCAAACTAGTTCCTCTCCCAGTGCCTCAGCGACCTTGGTCACACCTGTCCATAGACTTTGTCACTGACCTTCCACGTTCTGACGGCTTCACCCCTGTCATGGTGGTCGTAGATCGGTTCTCCAAATCATGCTGTTTTTTTGCCACTAACTGGTCTTCCTTCTGCTCTCCAGGTCGCTGAGGTCCTGTTCCAACAGGTCTTCCGGCATTATGGACTTCCGGAGGACATCGTCTCGGACCGTGGCCCCCAATTCACCTCCCGAGTGTGGAAGGCTTTCTTAGAGAAGATCGGGGCCACGGCCAGCCTCACTTCCGGGTATAGGCCTCAGTCGAATGGGCAGGTGGAGCGCATGAACCAGGAGCTGGGGTGGTTTCTTCGTTGCCACTGTTAGGACCGGCAGGGTGAGTGGGCGAGGTTTCTTCCCTGGGCAGAATATGCCCAGAACTCCCTCGTTCACTCCTCCATGGGGCTCACTCCCTTCCAGTGCATCCTGGGGTACCAGCCAGCCCTGGCCCCTTGGACACCCAGCCAGACCAATGCGCCCGCTGTCGACAAGTGGTTCCACAGGGCCGGACAGGTCTGGGACGCCGCCCATGTCCATCTCCAGAGGGCCATTCGTCGGCAGAAGGACCAAGCCGACCGCCACTGCAGTGAGGCCCCTGTATTCCAGCCTAGGGATCGTGTCTGGCTGTCCACAAAGAACCTCCCTCTCCGCCTGCCCTGCAAGAAACTGAGCCCCCGGTTTGTGGGGCCGTTTAAGGTCCTCCGGCGGATAAATGAGGTATCATACTGGCTGCTCCTTCACCCTCACTACCGTGTCTCACCCACTTTTCATGTGTCTCTCCTCAGGTCGGTGGTTCCTGGTCCTCTGGCGGATGCCGTCCCCTGGGGTACGCCTCCTCCGCCCCTAGACATTGACGGTGAGGGACCTGCTGGACTCCAGGTTCCGTGGGGGACAGCTCCATTACCTGGTGGACTGGGAGAGGTATGGTCCTGAGGAGAGGAGCTGGGTTCCGGCTGGGGACGTTCTGGACCCCAAACTAATTCGGGACTTCTACCGTCGCCGCCCTGACCGGCCCGCTCCTCGGGGTCGTCCTCCTGGCCGGCGACGTCCAGCGGCTGGGGCTGCGCATCCGGTGGGGGGGGGGGGGGTACTGTCACGTCTCCTCCTATTGCTCCCCTCCGGCGCTCTGATTCGCCGGTCTATTGAGCCACCGGTCTGAGCGCACCACCTCGGCAACACCGGAATGGAAACCCAACGCACCCTAATCACCTCAAGCGCAGCTGCACCTCATCATCTCATCACCACCTGTTCTGTAGGATTTTGTGTGTGATTGATTAGCTTCGTGTCGTGGACTCTATCTTTGACCTTGTTAATTCCTGCGTCTGCGTCCTGCCTCTTCGTATTCTCAGTGCTCATCACAGTAACGCAGCAGGAGAGAGTGGTTTCATCACGGTAGCACATTCAAATGTATAGCCATTAATCTAAAACAATTCATAGATTTTAAACAAAAAAACCTTTCTGTTTGTCATAGACGGGCAGGATTAATATGAGATGAAAGGCGAGTTCCTAACGAGTTCAGAAAGCCAATCTAGCACTCTGTGAGACGTTCACAACGATGGGGGCAGATGTTTTGATCAAGAGAGACCTTTAGAAAATATGTAAATTTTCTCTAACACTAAACATACGAATGTATTTTACAGTTATAAGGAAGATGAAATCTTATAGTTAGTCATTTTATAATTTGATGATGCTATATTTAGAAAGCATAAAAGTCATTTCTAGCCTTATTCATTCAGTTTTGTTGAATAGGAAATACATCATATAAAATATATTATCATACTTGGGCTTGTGTCCTCAAAAGTGACTACACCTCAGCAATTTATAACAATTTTAACCAGAAAGGTGAGATTTGAGCCTTTCTTTGAGTATGCTGCATTACTAGTTATTATTTATGGCCCTATCATGATAAATAATTACATTTGGGGAATACGTAGATGCCATTTTCGTTTACATTTAGTTACATTAAATTAAATGTTTTATTGTGTATGTAGTGTAATATCCATATATTTCAGTGACCTTGACTGCCATGTGGATATCAGTAAAAATTTGAACTTTCATTGCTCTCTCTGGAGGAACTCAAATAGCCAGGATGTGTTCTGTCCAGCTCTCTTTTTTTTTACACGATTAAGCTAAACCTGCTGACCACAGTAGTCAGCAGACAGGGACTCTGTCATAGAAACCTACATACCTCTCGGAAGTCATGTTCAAAATGGCGTAACTGCAGGCACTGCTCCAGTTTGAGGTGATGTTTGGACCAGAACTGTTGAAAAGCATTTTCTGTCTCATCCAGCTGGGACAACAACCTGAAACCCATGTGCTTTAGTGAAACATATATTTTATTATATGCATTAATGAACTGTATGTACATGTTTGTACTTAACTGTACATACAAACATGTTTTATTATTTTATCATTTATTAGAAACATATAGTATCTGAACTAGGTCACAGTAACCAACCTTTCCACTGTAGACTGGTTCTCCATCTCGTCTGGGTTTAGTTTGTGATTCTCAGACTTGGCGGCCTGCTCTTTGATACAGCCCAGCAGAGTAGTTCCCTGTTTCATCGCTAATTTCAGTTCATCCTGTCAAAATGAAATAACTCATTCAATCCCAGGCTATGCAAGGGGGAGACCCACCTGCCTATGGGGGGATCATGAGACAGGGGCTGTACCTGATTAACAGTCTGGTTTAGGAATAGAATACTTGCTATGCTTCCTACGCTATACTTTGCTATGGTTGTTATCTAGGCCATTGATGCTAATGGATGTGGTTCAACTACTAAGCAACAGGATATGATAGAAACCAGTCCCCTGTGAATTTGATCTCACTACTGTATGTGAATCTACCAATACTATACTACCAATCATAAACATAGGGAATATTCCGATTCTAACTATGGGTACAAGTGAACCCTAATAGGTAGCCAGGTTCAGAAGCCCCATGTTGATGCTGAAGCAGCGTCTCACCTTGAGTTTGTCATGCTTCTCAGTGTGAGTATTTAGAAGGTCTTTGGTGCACTGCACATCATTAGGCAGCTCCGTCTCGGCCAGATCTGTGCCAAACTTCTGCAGCATTTGGGCTGTGGTCTTCACTGTCACAGCAAAGTTCTCAATGGCCTGAGAGCAAAACACAAACACACCTCAGATTATACTGTGCCATGAGCCATACATTTTTTGGATTATTAAAAGGATGATTATGTGGAAACTGGCAATATTTCAGTATTCACTTCTCTGGAAGATCCTGCAGTTACAAGAAATTCCCAGTGAGTAAAGACTGTTAAGAAAAGGTCAAATGTCATGGTGACTCACTGTCCTGTGGTGGATCCACTGACTGTGACAGTACTCCAGGTTCCCACCAAGCTCACATGTTAGCTGGCCCTTATCCACATAGCCATGTAAGTCAGACAGGGAGTTCAGCATCACAATCTGTAAAGACAGGAAAGAAATTAACATACAATACTGTATGTTATGAAGTCACCTATGTACAGTTGAAGTCGGAAGTTTACATACACCTTAGCCAAATACATTTCAACTCAGTTTTTCACAATTCCTGACATTTAATCCTAGTAAAAAATTCCCTGTTTTAGGTCAGTTAGGATCACCACTTTATTTTAAGAATGTGAAACGTCAGAATAATAGTAGAGAGAATGATTTCTTTCAGCTTTTATTTCATTCATCACATTCCCAGTGGGTCAGAAGTTTACATGCACTCAATTATGTGGTCCTCTGTAGCTCAATTGGTAGAGCATGGCGCTTGTAATGCCAGGGTAGTGGGTTCGATCCCCGGGACCACCCATACGTAAACATTTATGCACACATGACTGTAAGTTGCTTTGGATAAAAGCGTCTGCTAAATGGCATATTATATTATTATAAATTAGTATTTGGTAGCATTGCCTTTAAATTGTTTAACTTGGGTCAAACGTTTCGGGTAGCCTTCCACAAGCTTCCCACAATAAGTTGGGTGAATTTTGGCCCATTCCTCCTGACAGAGCTGGTGTAACTGAGTCAGGTTTGTAGGCCTCCTTGCTCGCACACACTTTTTCAGTTCTGCCCACACATTTTCTATAGGATTGAGGTCAGGGCTTTGTGATGGCCACTCCAATACCTTGACTTTGTTGTCCTTAAGCCATTTTGCCACAACTTTGGAAGTATGCTTGGGGTCATTGTCCATTTGGAAGACCTATTTGCAACCAAGCTTTAACGTCCTGACTGATGTCTTGAGATGTTACTTCAATATATCCACATCATTTTCTTCCTTGCTGAGCGGCCTTTCAGGTTATGTTGATATAGGACTCGTTTTACTGTGGATATAAATACTTTTGTACCTGTTTCCTCCAGCATCTTCACAAGGTCCTTTGCTGTTGTTCTGGGATTGGTTTGCACTTTTCGCACCAACGTACGTTCATCTCTAGGAGACAGAAGGCGTCTCCTTCCTGAGGGGTATGACGGCTGCGTGGTCCCATGGTGTTTATACTTGCATACTATTGTTTGTACAGATGAACGTGGTACCTTCAGGCGTTTGGAAATTGCTCCCAAGGATGAACCAGAATTGTGGAGGTCTACAATTGTTTTTCTGAGGTCTTGGCTGATTTCTTTTGATTTTCACATGATGTCAAGCAAAGAGGCACTGAGTTTGAAGGTAGGCCTTGAAATACATCCACAGGTACACTTCTAATTGACTCAAATTATGTAAATTAGCCTATCAGAAGCTTCTAAAGCCATGACATAATTTTCTGGAATTGTCCAAGCTGTTTAAAGGCACAGTCAACTTAGTGTATGTAAACTTCTGACCCACTGGAATTGTGATACAGTGAATTATAAGTGAAATAATCTGTCTGTAAACAATTATTGGAAAAATTACTTAGATGTCCTAACCGACTTGCCAAAACTATAGTTTGTTGACAAGAAATTTGTGGAGTGGTTGAAAAACGAGTTTTAATGACTAAATGTATGTAAACTTCCGACTTCAACTGTATTTGGACAGTGAAGCAAAAACATTTAATTTGACTCTATACTCCAGCATTTTGGATTTGAGATCAAATGTTTCATATGGGCGACAGTTCAGAATGTCACCTTATATTTGAGGGTATTTTCATACATATCTGTTTTACTGTTTAGAAATGAAAGCACTTAATGTATTGTCAGAATGGCAGACTAATGCCTAGTTTTCTGTGACATTTTAGTGGCAGAAAGCAAGGACAGGAAATGCTGAAAGGAAGGCCCCACTCACACACTTATGAAGAAGTTTCACTTACACTCACACATGGAACACAAAGGAGAATGACATTGAGAGAAAAATGTACATTGACCCTAGAAAATAAGAAAAATGAATTGGGACTGGAATTTATTAAAATAATAATGACATGTTAAATATGTTAAATGTTGAAGGTTGGAAACATTGGGGAATGTTAAAGGGTGACTGAAGTAATATAGTAAAATGGTTAAGGATGAGATGTTTTTTGTTTTTTAAGGCACAGTACATTTGGACTACGTCTATCAGGCTTGGAGGATAAGGCCTTAGGAGATTGATAGAGAAATGTTATAATGTTGAAATAATAGGATGATGATGGGATGTTGAATGTTTAAGATGTAACTGGAGTAATAAGTTAGGTTAAAGTGAGATTAGAATTGAGTGAAATTAGATTAATTAAAGGTTGATTTGAAGGGGAAAATAAGTGTTAATGTTTAAAACTAGTAGTGATGATGATGTTTAGCTAGAGGTACAGTACCAGTCAAAAGTTTGGACATACCTACTCATTCAAGGGTTTTTCTTTATTTCTACTATTTTCTACATTGTAGAATAATAGTGAAAACATCAAAACTATGAAATAACACATATGGAATCATGTAGTAACCAAAAAAGTGTTAAACAAATATTATATTTTATATTCTTCAAAGTAGCCACCCTTTGCCTTGATGACAGCTTTGCACACTCTTGGCATTCTCTCAACCAGCTTCATGAGGAATGCTTTTCCAACAGTCTTGAAGGAGTTCCCACATATGCTGGCTTCTTTTCTTTCACTCTTAGGTCCAACTCATCCTAAACCATCTCAATTGGTTAGAGGTCGGGTGATTGTGGAGGCCAGGTCATCTGATGCAGCACTCCATCACTCTCCTTCTTGGTCAAATAGCCCTTACACAGCCTGGAGGTGTGTTGGGTCATTGCCCTGTTGAAAAACAAATGATAGTCCTACTAAGCGCAAACCAGATGGGATGGCGTATCGCTGCAGAATGCTGTGGTAGCCATGCTGGTTAAGTGTGCCTTGAATTCTAAATAAATCACTGACAGTGTCACCAGCAAAGCACCCCCACACCATCACACCTCCTCCTTCATGCTTCACGGTGGGAACCACACATGCGTAGATCATCCGTTCACCTACTCTGCGTCTCACAAAGGCACGGCGGTTGGAACCAAAAATCTAAAATTTTGACACATCAGACCAAAGGACAGATTTCCACCGGTCTAATGTCCATTGCTCGTATTTCTTGGCCCAAGCAAGTCTCTTCTTCGTATGTGTGTCCTTTAGTAGTGGTTTCTTTGCAGCAATTCGACCTTGAAGGCCTGATTCACGCAGTCTCCTCTGAACAGTTGATGTTCAGATGTGTCTGTTACTTGAACTCTGCGAAGCATTTATTTGGGCTGCAATCTGAGTCTGGTAACTCTAATGAACATATCCTCTGCAGCAGAGGTAACTCTGGGACTTCCTTTCCTGTGGCGGTCCTCATGAGAGCCAGTTTCATCATAGCGCCTGATGGTTTTTGCGACTGCACTTGAAGAAACTTTCAAAGTTCTTGAAATTTTCCGGATTGACTGACCTTCATGTCTTAAAGTAATGATGGACTGTTGTTTCTCTTTGCTTATTTGAGCTGTTCTTGCCATAATATGGACTTGGTCTTTTTTGGTTACTACATGATTCCATATGTGTTATTTCATAGTTTTGATGTCTTCACTATTATTCTACAATGTAGAAAATAGTAGAAATAAAGAAAAACCCTTGAATGAGTAGGTGTGTCCAAACTTTTGACTGGTACTGTATATTAAGGTTGCTAGTTTGACCTACAATAACCCCAGGTCAGACAGTTAGGAGAGACCTACAAAAGGAGTAGTCAGAAAATCCTGGTGATACGGGGCTCGGATCATTATGAGATGAGGCTCGTTTCATTTAGTATTGGAGCCCGCATCATTCTTGGGGGGTTAAGGGTTACTTGCGTTACAGCTCGCTTGAGCCTGGGGTGGGGAGGAGCCTGTGGTTTTAGAAAGCCTAGGGTCAGGAAATAGTTGTGGTTAGTGGTTGGCTGAAAAATACCCTTTAAGGGTCAGGAGAGGGTTTGCAGATGCTATAGCAAGATTTTGTAGAGGTGTCAGCAAAACCACAAGTGTTGGTAGGCGAGGAGTAATGAGCACAGCGGCGGTGCTAGGACCACATATAGGCCATTAGGGCAGCAGGTGTTAACCATAAATGCAGTGGGGAAGAGTCTCTTTGGGCTTCCTAGAAGAACCTGTTGTCTGCTGAAGCAGATTTTTGCTGTAGCATTTTAGCTAATATATAGTTTGATTTTTATTATACTTGGTTTTATTCTTAGAGTGTTAAAGTAAAGTTCTAGAAGGAATCCTTAAGGTTACCTTATTGATCGACGTTTTAAGTACAGTAGCTGTTGGAGTTTTGAAACACCAACTGAGGGACTGATCATCCTGAGGGGGGCGACAAAAGACTGTTTATAGTTGTAGAAGGTAAGAGACCTTAAATGCTGTGCTTCTCATAGAATGTTAATAGACAGAAAATATTGCATTGGCAGCCTAATAGGGGTTTAGATAAGGGCGCTGGAGGTATCTAATCCATTGTAGATTTTTGCTTATCAAAATTGCTTGTGTGACTATTGATTTGTGATATTGATTGATTGAGCTTGGACTTTTTATGCCTGTTTCTGGAATTTTGAATAAACTTCCTTTCCTGTTCTGAAACCTTGTGTCATCAGAGTCATACAAGTGCATGTCGTTTTACTCTAGGTTTCTGAAATTGACTTGCTTGATTTAGGATTTTTTGCATCTGGTTAATTAGTCTATTGGGAACCTGAGTTGCTGGAATAAAATTACCTGAGACCGAACTATAGGTACTGAGTACATTGATCGGATTCGTAAGAGGGGTGATTCTGGGCTAAGCCAACCCAGGAAATAGGGACCCCTCATAGTGGGCTACGGTAGAAGCTCTGGCCTGGACGATCCTGAGAAGGCGCCAGGTTGAACGAGAGTGAGGCAGCATAGGCACTAGGGCTTTACTGTAAGGCCCTTACTGTTGAGTTTGAGGAACAGTCCCTAGCTGTAAACTGGCTCAGTGGTAGGGCAGAGCGGCATCTATCAGATCTGGGGAATTAATGACAAGGAATAACTGACTGCTATTGGGCAGACAGGTTCGAGT